TTTTGTTGCGATATTTCAGTTAGAATGTATCTTTTGGAAGTCTTGTTGAGATTTTGCTGTAAATTCTTTTTTAATTCCAGGCAATCTCCTCCCTTCCAGATCCTACCCTTTTATTCTTTTTCTCTCCTTTCCTGTTTTCAAAAGCTTTTAATTATCCAGAAATCTTTATTATCCCTTTGACTTTTTATTTTCAGCATTAAATGCCTATTGATGTCAAAGTGGATTTTTTTTTCCAATTTCTTGCTTAAGTCTCTTAGCTATCAGTATAGGAAAAGGAGAAAACCAAATCTTTTCCCTTTTCTCTCTCCTTCGCAGCTTAAAAATCTTCTTAGGGAACAATGTTATTGTTTTTTTAACAGTTTCAATTCCAGGGTATCTTATTTGTTGCTTTTGCTGTTTGACCCAGTCAACCAAAACTTTCTCTTCTTATCTTCCTCCTGCACATTCTTTTCCGGTCGAGTTCTTCTTTGTAGTGGCCATTTCTGACCACCGCTGCAACTGCCTTCGGGAAAGGGAGTAATGGCCAGCTGGGGAGGAGAGATGCGGCTCTCCTCAACCCTGCAGGCAGTCTCCCCCCTCTTCACCACCTCTACGGGGTGGCTTAGGCCCGAAAACAGCTGGCTCGGGGTGTTCCAGCGGTGAGTACGGATCAAAGCCTCGCAGAGATGAGGTTTTGGTCTGTCGCTGAAGAAGCTCAAACTGGAAGTCCCCCAGAAGTATAAATCTTGAAGAAGTAACTTGGGCAATAAATAAACAAAAAAATAACAAGGTGGTTGGCCAGGATGCACTCCCTGCTGAATTATACAAAACTCAACAAGAAATATTTGGTGACAGATTACTTAAATTATTTAATGAAGTTCTGGATAAGGCAAAGATTCTGGAATCATGGAAGGAAGCAGCGATTACGATTATTCCAAAAGAAAAAAAAAAGATCAAAGATAGGAAATTATAGGCCAATATCTCTATTAAATGTGGACTATAAAATTTTTGTAACTATAATAGCTGAAAGATTCAAGAAAATACTAAATAAATTTATACACACAGACCAAAATGGCTTCCTTCCACATAGACATCTTAGCAATAATATTAGGACAATTTTAGACATCATAGAGTATTATGAAGAGTGTAGTGGAGAACAGGTAGCATTATTATTCCTGGATGCTAAAAAGGCCTTTGAAAATGTGAAATGGAGTTTCATTCTGCAACAAATTAAGTATGTGGATTTTGGGCAAAAATTCCTAAATGTAGTATCAGCAATATATAATAAACAACAAGCTAGGATATTGATAAATGACCATACAACAAATAAATATGAGATACATAAAGGAACAAGGCAGAGATGTCCATTATCACCTTTATTATTTATTTTGACTTTGGAAGCACTAACAAGAATAATTAGGAAAGAACCGGAAACAAAAGGACTAAAAATAAAGAAAGAAGAATATAAATTACAAGCCTTCGCTGATGATTTGGTTTTTATTTTAGAAGATCTGCAAAATTCAGGACCAAAATTGATAGAGCAATTAGAGGAATTTGGCGAAGTAGCAGAGCTAAAAACTAACAAGGAAAAAACTAAAATACTTACCAAAACATGACAAATGTACAAAAAGAAAATTTAACAATAATAATGGACATCCAGACAACAAATAAAATTAAATATTTGGAAATTGTAATTTCGGCAAAATGTATAACCCTCAAAGAGGACAATTATACCCCACTAATCAAAAAAATAACTGAAGATCTTAGGACATGGAGCAATCTAAGACTTTCCCTTATGGGGAGAATTGCATCTACAAAAATGAACGTATTACCAAAATTATTGTTTTTATTCCAAAACACTCCGGTAAAATTAGGGGAAAACTTTTTTGATCAATTGGATAAGCTAGTATCAAATTTTATATGCAGGGAAAAAAGCCCAGAATTAGACTGAAATTGTTGCAGTACGCTACTGAAAGAGGACTTGGCCTACTGAACTGGGAAATATATTACAGAGTGGCCACTCTGACCTGGGTTAAAGATTGGATAAGTGTTAAAAATAAAAGAATATTAACATTAGAAGGATATAATCTACAGGCAGGGTGGCATGCCTTTTTGTGGCAGGACAAACATCAAATCCATGGCTATTTTCAAAGACATAAAATTAGGTAGACCTTATTAAACGCATGGATTAAAACTAAATGCCAATTCTACGTTGAAATACCAATTTGGCTATCTACATCAGAAGTGTTAATGTACCCACATTTATTTCGATGAGGACAGGTCATTACATATGAGGACATATTAGATGAGAAGGGTGAGTTAAAAACAAGACAGGAGTTGAAGGATTTGGGATTTGAGATAGAATGGTGGGCCTATTTACAATTACAGTCGAAGTATAGTAAAGATATGAAACAATGGGGTATTAGTAGATGGAAAACAGAATTAGATAAAATATTATTAGGGATGGATGAGAAACTGATTAAAATTTTTTACAAAGTATCATTGGAATGTAAATTGGAAGAGGAAAAGGTGAAAGAAACAATGCTGGCCTGGATGAAAGATTTTGGATATGATATAAATTTGGAAGATTGGCAAATTTTATGGGACAGGAATAGGAAAATTACTTTGGCGGCATCCTATAAAGAAAATTTACATAAAATGTTTTACCGATGGCATATCCCACCATCAAAATTAGCAAAAATGTACCCCAAATTATCCCCTAAATGCTGGAAATGCAACAAAGAAATCAGAACATACTACCATGTATGGTGGAAATGTGAAAAAGTCCAAATATATTGGATGAGAATTAGAAACTGGTTAGAAGAGATGTGTAAAATTAAAAGAGTTTAGACCTGAAATTTTTTTATTGGGAATCAATGTTGGAAAATATAATGAGATAATATACCTAATAGTTCATGTCACCACTGCCACGAGACTAGCTCTTGCCCAAAGATGGAAAGGAAATGATATGCCAGAAGAGATGGAAATAATTAGAAAAATTTGGTCGTGCACTGAAATGGATAGAGTAACTCAAGAATTAAAATATCTGATTATTATACAATTTGGGAGAAGTTTTACCACTGGTTTAAAAGGAGTAATTGTAACAAAGATGATTAATATTTATGTACATATGTAAATTTGTATTTTTTGTTATGTATGCACCATGTTCATTGTTTTTAATGTTTTTTGTTTGTTTGTTGTCCATTAAAATTTATTTTAAAAAAAGAAAAAAAAAGAAGAGATAACATGGAGGAAGAGAAAGTCTGTATAGTAAAGCGCTGCTTTGCATGTGGATCTTCTCAGCATATCCAGAGAAATTGTCTAGTAAGAAGATTAAAAACTACAAGCAGGTGAAAGCACAACAACTGAAAAAAGAAGAGACACAAACCAGCAACCAGCAAAACACTAAAGACATTTGTTTGTTTGACAGTGGGACAAGTGAGAATTTTGTAAATAACCCAAAACTTTTTTCCACGCTAGGGCCAGCTTATTTTGCACTCCAGCTATCTCTACACTCCCTCTCCCTGGCAGTGAAAAGAGAGAGAAAAGCTACAAAAAGAAAATGGCCACAGTTCGGCCAACTTCAGTGTTGAAATACAATTTGCTGGGTGTATCTCATTTAGATAATGCAGGGTATAAGGTAATTTTTGCAAAGGGTGCACGCACATATGTAAAGTTACTGGCTTCATAAAGAATAACAAGGTGCGTACACCAAGTTTGAAACTGAACAATTTATGTTTTGAACCACAAGGAAACTGGTGGCAGTGTACGATCTTTTCAAATGAACAGAAGCCTAAGGCTGGGTCATGCAAGTTTTAAAACATTGCAGAAGATGCCTTATCTGGTTGTGGGTTTGATTGTAAGAGATTGTGACAACGATTTGATTGTGCCATTTGTAAAGAGGCAAAACCAAAGATATACCATCAGCAGAGGAAGTGATGGGAAATCTGAGAGGATTTTTTCAGTTAGTACAAGCTGATTTAATTGGCTCTCTATCTCCATCATGATGCTTCTCCCTAGTGCTCGAGAAAACTCCTTCGAATCCCTTCGACTGCAAGGCGATCAAACTGGTCCAGATGATGGTAGAGGGCAGGAAAGCCTGGAGGAATGTTGTCCATGGGGTTGAGGTGGGTCAGACACGACTTCGCAACTAACAATAACAATCAAGAAATCTGTAATGACTAATTCATTAAATTACCAGGCATTGAGTGCCACTCCAAAGATACTTGAGTTGACTTTCTCTCCAGCATAATTGATGTCCTTCTTAACTTGCTTGTTGCGCTGGGAGGTTCCCACCATCAGGCAGCAAGCAGTGAAAAACATGGTTCGTTAGTCCTGTCTCATTCCTTCGTATTCCATCTAGCCCAAGAAGTCCTTAAGTGGGACTCAACCATGAGGGTCTGGTTACTGCTTGCAACCTGGGTCACCTATATGTGTCTAGCTTTGACCTAATGGGGATTTCTTGTATGCAAAGTCACAGAAACACAAGGCATTTAGCATGGGTGTGCTTGGAAGCATCTCTGGCCAGTACAAATGAAGTTGGATCCCTTTGAGCCTCTGACCCACTGACCCTCCTAGGACGGTCTTAAATTCTTGGGAGCCACAGAAAATCAATCTTAAATGTTTAGGATGTACAAAAGGTTTTTATCTCCACTGAGTCACCCCTAAGAAAGTGCAGGAATCTATATGTACACCAGCTTTCTGCAAAGTAGTGCCCTCTAAGTCTTTTGCCCAAGCTGTTTGGGAATATTAAGGCTAAATCTAACTCCCATGGAGATTGGGAAGAGATATAATTTATTAAATATAATTTTACTATTTTAAACTTTAATTTTTTTGCACATTAAATTCAAAGTAACTTGGAGCTTGAGACTCAACCCAAGAGCTTACTGGTTTACCTTGCCTGGTCCACATTGTTGGGTGTCCTTCTACAAAGGGATCACATGCAACGTGACCTACTACTAAAAAAATGTAACCAGACTTTTTGAATTGTGTTTGTGAAATATGCAATCTTGGAATTCTTTGGTGTCTTCTAATCCAAGCAAAATCAGGATCAGTCACCTGCATAGCGAAAATATCACTTCTGCTGCTACGAAGAATGTTCCTCTTTTTATTTGAAGGCACTTTTGAAAAACATTAAGGAGCCTTGGGATAGAATTGAAAGAACAGGAAACATCTCACAGGTGTTGGGAAAAGAGGTTTTCAATGACCTAGACCCGATGTTTACAGAAATGCTGACAGTTTCTTTTTTTTCTTTCTCAAAAGTTATTATTTTTATGCAATGCTATTTTAGAAATAAAACATTATCTACTGTACCATCTGCTTTCTCCTTATATGAGGAGCCACAATCTCTAACTAGTCCGAGTGTTCCTATCCTGAAGACATGCTGCCTGTGGAATTCTGGGGAGGAAAAGCTCAAGGACACACAGGTAGGGGGGAGCTGGGACTCTGCACATGGCATGATAAAAATGCAAAGAACGCTCCCAGAAAGATTTTTTTACTGAATTGCATAATTTCTGCAAAAATAAATATCCAGCAACTTCTGCTATTGATGGCCAGACAGCCATTATCAAACTAATATGTTCCATTTTTAAATTTCCTCCTTCCTGTCTAATACCATGACATATTTGACTTCAAGAAATTGGGCAAATTCTTTGTAGTCAAATTAGTCAATTTCTCAGCTGAACTTACAATGGGACATTAGAAATGGAATTCAACCCTTCTCTATACTCATCACTTTTGGCTTCAGGTGGATTTTCTTGTGTGCAATTAGGGTGGACTGTTTCCTGAAGCACCGTTCACAGTTGGGGCACTTAAATGGTTTCTCCCCTATGTGTATAAGCACATGATTTATAAGGTTAGACCTAATACTGAAATCTTTCCCACAGTCTGGACACTCGTATGGTTTCTCTCCTGTGTGAGTCCTCTGGTGTCTCACCAGGCTGGAACTCTGACTGAAATTTTTCCCACACTCAGGACATTCAAAAGGTTTCACTCCTGTATGAGTCCTCTGGTGTGCAACAAGGTGGGAACTGTGACTGAAACTTTTCCCACAATCAGGACATTCAAAGTGTTTCTCTCCTGTCTGAGTCCTCTGGTGTTTCATCAGGCTGGAATTCTGACTGAAACTTTTCCTACAATCAGGATATTCAAAGGGTTTATTTCCTGTGTGAATCCTCTGGTGTCTCATGAGGTGTGAATTTGTAATGAAACTTTTCCCACAATCTGGACATTCAAAGGGTTTTTCTCCTGTGTGAGTCCTCTGGTGTCTCATGAGGTGGGAATTCTGACCGAAACTTTTCCCACAATCAAGACATTCATAGGGCTTGTCTCCTGCGTGAGTCCTCTGGTGCCTCCTGAGGTGGGAATTTCTAATGAAACTTTTCCCACAATCAGGACATTCAAAGGGTTTCTCTCCTGTGTGTGTTCTCTGATGGTTCATCAGGCTAGATTTCTGCCTGAAACCTTTCCCACAGATAGGACATTCAAAGGGTTTCTCTCCTGTGTGATTCCTCTGGTGTTGTACAAGATGGGAATTCTGACTGAAAGATTTCTTACAATCACAACATTCAAAGGGTTTCTCTCCTATGTGAATCTTCTGGTGTATCAGTGGGTTGGAATTGTAACTCAAGCTTTTCCCGGAGTCAGGACATCAAAAGGTTTCTCCCCAGTGTGAGTTCTCTGTTGTTTCACAAGATTGGAATTGTGACTGAAACCTTTCTCACAATCAGGATATTCAAATGTTTTCTCAAAGAGTCCTGTGGTGTTTCACCAGGCTGAAATTCTGACTGAAACTTTTCCCACAATCTGGACACTCATATGGTTTTTCCCTGGTGTGAGTCCTCTGATGTATCACCAATTTGCCATGCTCACTAAAGAATTTACCACATTGGGAGCACTTGTAGGGCTGCTCTAGCCTTCCATGAACCATAACAGAGCTGTTTTGACCAAATGGTTTGTCATAGTCAGAGTGTTTGTATGGTTTTTCTCCAGTGTGAATCCTCTTATGCATAATCAGCTGTGATTTGCAGTTTTTCTCTTTCCTACAGTAGGCACGTCTATGAAACTTTTCCACAACTGATATTCCTGAGGAGGTCAAAAATATGGACGGTCCCTTGTTTAGTGGTGTTTTGTTTCACGCTGTTTTTTTTCCTCCCAGGGCAAGGACTGCAACACTGCATGGCAATTGACCTTTTCCTCCCCACTGACTTCCAGAGATATATCCCTTTTTTCTGAATGAAAAATAATCTCCCTTGACTTTTTATGTAAAGTTGCTTGTTATTCTCAGTTGTCCAGAGTGCTCTTATTGCCATCCTCTTTGTCTAGGATACAAAGAAAAGTGTAATGTCATTTATAAAATGGTTACAGAAGATATAAGAAAAAATTACAACAAAAAAGCAAAAATGCTACAATGCTAGAATTACCTCTTACATTAATCTTGATTAATTTTATACATGGAAGACTACCAAGATCAAAGTTCAAATATGCATTCAATCATGGAATTCTCTGGTTGATTTGGGTCAATCACAAATTCTTAGAAATGCAAAGTGTTATCACCAAATATATCTGGAAGTGTTGGGAACAATTATATAATTGCAGACATATGCATACAGAGATTAAATACAGAAACACCCATCTACATATGTGTTGTGGCTCTGAGGTTTGAGCCTGCTTTGTTAGAGGACGAAGACCCGGATAATGAGGAAGAGGAGGGTTTAGCTCTGAGGTTTGAGCCTGCTTTGTTAGAGGATAAAGACTCGGACAATGAGGAAGAGGAGGATTTGGAGTTGCCTTCCTCCCCAGGACTTTCCTCTTCGGCAAGGCCTTCCTCCCTGATTGTGCCTCAGGTGTCGGCAAATAACCAGGAAGGCGTATCAGAGTCTCTGACTGAGGGTCAAGCTGAGGAATGCTGGATTGATGCGAGGCAGCGTCGTAGGCAAAAGTGCAAGCTGCAACGTAGAAAGAAGGGACGAATCAGAGACTGAGCTGAGGGACTGACACGCCCCACAAGGAATAAAAGTGGGTGTGTTCGCTCTAGGAAGTTTGTTCGGGACAATGTGTTAATTATTCAGAGGAGCTCCGGAGTATCGTGTCTGATTTATATTCCTGCTTTCTTGTTGGACTTGGCAGACAGCGTGTGTGTGAGACTGCCAAGAACTTTATCAGCTCAAGGACTTTAACTCTATAATTACTGGATTTGCTTGCTTGTTTGTATTCAGTTGGAAGTTGGACTTCTCACCTCTTTTGTATAGATGAGACATAACACATATGTATACATGGAGAAAATCTATGTCTTTCATGCATGACAAAATGTCCCAAAATCATTATAGTCAAACCTTTCGAGCTACTTTAGACATGTGGAGGCTTTAACTGATGAAATGATGCCTGAAGTCTCTTTCAATTTCCTGCCAGTATACCCACTGATTTTGTTTGTCAGAAGCCAGCTGGGAAGGTCACACATTGGGAATATGAGTGTGGGATGCTGCGGCCATCATAAATGTGCACCTGTTGTCAGAACTCAAATTGGTGCAACTCCTTTTCTTGGACCTTTGTAATCACAGGAACTGCTGATGTGTGGTCACTGAACGAGTGCTACAATGACCGCGAATTTATGTGGCAAGGTGTAAGTCTGCTTTTACACTGCCATTACAACTTTGGAGGCTCGGGGAAGAAATGGTAAACGAGGACTACCTATACAACTGTACATCCCAAAGGTCCACAATAGCTATTTTGCATGTCACATGCTAGCTGGGAAGGTCACAAATGGGATCATGAGTGTGGGGTGCTGAACCCATCATATATTTACACCAGTGTGTAGTACCCAAATTGGTGCGTCTCCTTTTTCTGCACCTTCATACCCACAGGGACTGCTGACTTGTGGTCAGCAGCACCAAGGAACTACTGGTGGAATGGAAAAGAGCTGATGTAGTTCCCATATTCAAAAAAACTGAGGGGAAACGGATCTACAAAACTACAGACCAATCAGCTACTTTAGTGGAAAAAAGAACTAGGGATGACATAATAGCAGTGCTCCAATACTTGAGGATTTGCCACAAAGAAGCGAGGAAGGCAAGACAAGAAGCAATGGATGGAAACTAATCAAGGAGAGAAGCAACCTAGAACTAAGGAGAGCAGGGAGGACAACTGACCACCTTTCAGAAGTTGTGGGTGCTGCATCACTGGAAGCTTTTAAGAAAAGGCTGAACAGCCATTTGTCTGAAGTGGTTCTGGGTCTCCTGCTTGAGCAGGGCGGAGGAACAGAAGACCTGCCAGGTTCCTTCCATCTTGTTACAAACCTCCAGTGACGGAGCCCCCACAACCTCTGGAGGGGAGCCATTCCCAAAGGATCCACCTTCACATGCAAGGGGCTTTTTAAATCTCCCCCCCAGCAGAAAATTGCAGCCACCAGTTTCACAGCGTGCAGCCCCAGCGGGCTCCGATCTGGGGAGGGAAGGAACCTGCAGCTGACACGCTTCAGCCCAGTTGCTTCTCTGCTTCCAGGCCGTGGAGGGAACCGAACAGCCCGACTTGCTCCCGGACTCTCCTCCCACCTGATGCCCCCAACTCACCTCCCAGCTGCTGCTTCCATCCTAGGAAGAGCACAGAAGCCGCTCTGCACACCACCTTCCGCCCATGAGTGACCCGGAAGAGGAAATTCCTCTGTCCTCCTGTCCTCCCATCCTTTGTAGCAATGCAGTACTCTATGGTTTTAACTCCTTAAACTCAACCACAGGAACCCCTATTGTATTTTGGGGTTTTCAGGCACAGATGCTGCCGACCTGATCACCATCTCCTGATAGTGACCGAAAAACACATTTGTTTGCCCCATACCTACCTGAGCCACTTGCAAGATATTTTCGCTGATTAAATCCCATCAAGTCACTTTTGATTTCTAGGTGCTGACTTTTGAGCTGAAGTGAAACAGTGAAATGTGAGGCTATTTAGCTTGTGAAGATTAGCTACGTGTTGAGCCCTGAAGGTTTTACAGAATTACAGAACAAGCTTTCCCAGGGGTGACTCTCAGCGGAGATCAATGCCTCTCTACATATCAAATCTTTATGATTAATTTAATGTGGCTCCCAAAGATTTAGGACATTGCAGCGGTATCAGGCCAGATGCTCCAGGGGAGCCAGCTTGTTAAAATATTTAAATTAATAGCTGTGAAGGGTTAGATAATGAGTAAGAATACACAGTTACAGCTGACTGGTTGAAGAGAGCTGGCCACTGCATGAGGGATCTAAGATGAGATTGGTTGCTGTGAGCGTAAAGGGGGAGTTTCCTTGTTTCCTGCCTTTTTCCCCGTGTATATATTGTCTAATTCAGTGGTCCCCAACCACCGAATTAGACTCTAATTTACCTCATGATGTTCCTGCTGTATTAATTTCAATTTACCTGATGATGCTCCTATCTAGGTTATATCTAGTTGTAATATATAACTAGGTTTGCAAAAGTATGTTTTGGGGAGTTATCCTACTCTCCCACTTCTCTGCAGTTTCCTTGGCAAGGTTTTTGGAAGTGGATTCAGGGGTGGGATTCAAATTTTTAACAACTGGTTCTGTGGGCATGGCTTAAGCCGTGGGCATGGCTTGGTGGTCATGTGACTGGGTGGACATGGCTTGGTGGTCATGTTATTGGCTGGGCATGGCCAACTCAACATCACTCACATCGAGGCACGCATCTCCTCGCCTGGCCTCTCATGACTGTGGGGATACTGCAACAGTCGTAAGTGTGAAAAATGGTCATAAGTCACTTTTTTCAGTGCCATTGTAACTTTGAATGGTCACTCCACACAAGCAAAGTACCAGCAAAGGAGGGGAAAATAAACTCCAGAGAAGTTCCTGAGACAGGAAGTCCAGTCCTGCCAAGAATGCGATAAGGGTTAACGGAGAGGCAGTTTCTGTAAGCAACACCAGAATGTTTCCTTCCTGCCTTCCTTACAGGATTAGGCCAGTAATTTCTTCTAACAAGCGGTTCTCCAAACTGCTTAGAATGTTAACAACAGGTTCTAGCAAATAGGTGCAAACTGGTAGAATCCCACTCCTGAGTGGATTCCCACTTTCCTAGGCCTGAGAGAAGGGACACGCTCTGGCCCTAGCCTGGTGACCACCAGACTGGGCCTTCTTCCTCCCTCAAAATCACTCCAGCCGTTCCTGCTACTCCAGCCCCAAATTCAAGGATATAGCTTTCAAGATTCAGTATCCTCCAAATAACACATACTTTACACCTTTCAATCTGAGCTTCAAACTTTCATTCTGAGGGAAAGGACTGTTCCTCTGGCTGGGAAATTATGCCTTTGGACCTTGTCCTGTAGACTTCCCCGACTCTTAGGTTGGCTTTATTTAATTTTGCTTGGTGTTTTTATATAGCCCTGTGAGAGATTCAGAGGCTTTGGGATCATTGCAAGCATTTCCAACTCCTAACCATAAGATGAGATATGATAAAGATTTGCACTAAAATATGACACCAAGGAAATAGAAAAAGGAAAAAATGATTAAATATAATTTTACTATTTTAAAGTTTAAATTTTTTGCACATTAAATTCAAAGTAACTTGGAGCTTGAGACTCAACCCATGAGCTTATTGGTTTTCCTTGCCTGGTCCACGTTGTTGGGTGTCCTTCTGCAAAGGGATCACATGCAAGGTGACCTACTAGAAAAATTGTAACCTGTCTTTTTGAAGTGTGTTGGTGAAATATACAATCTTGGAATTCTTTGGTGTCTTCTAATCCCAGCAAATCAGGATCATTAATCTGCATAGCTAAAAATGTCATTTACACTGCAACCAAGAATGTTCCTCTATTTATTTGAAGGCACTTTTGAAAAACATTAAGGAGCCCCGGGATAGAATTGAAAGAATAGGAAACATCTCACAGGTGTTGGGAAAAGAGCTTTTCATGGCTTACCCAAAAGTAGGTTATGGTCTACTTTGTCAAATGTCTTATTGAAGTCCCAAGTACACTATCTGCACAGCATTTTGCTAATACATTAATTTAATTGCTTTATTTAAAAAAAGGCAGTAAGTTTTATCTGGCGTTATTGTTCTGACCCAGCTTTTGCAAGCAATGAGAAACCACTTACTCACAAGTAAAATAACTTTTTAGACCAGGGCAGGAACAGTCTTTATTCACGTTGGATAGAAAAAAAAAACCAAAAATAGTTGCAAATGAAAATCTTTTCCCCTTCTGAAACAGGGCACCAACAATTTATAATCACACGAAAACTCAAGATAAAAAGTCCTTCAATGATTAAGCCAAGCAGACAGTCCCTGTTTACACTGGCAAATTCACTACCAAGTTTTCCCAGCAGGGAGACTCAATTGGCACCTCAAATACAGAGCAATCAGTCCCAACAAATCTGGTTCTGGCAAAGAAATCCAACTTGATGTACACTAGGATATGAATGGTTGTCTGCAACCGCAGGCCCCTTCCAAACCCCTACTATTTATTTCCCAGCCAGGGAGGGGTCTGGCTAGTGTCTATATCTCCTTTTCCCTGAGAGCTGGCTTATTGCCTTCCATTGCTCTCCTCTCCTCTCTTATGTGCATCTGGGATGGGCCCCATCTGTTCTTCCTCCTCCCTCAGCTCAGGCCCTGAAGACAGCTGCCTCTCCACCTGGGGGCAGACAGAAGGCCCCAGCTCTGCATCTGCCCGATTCTGCTTCCTCATCACGGCCTTCCAAAGGCTCCAAAGCTGGCCCAGGCAACTCATCCAGCTCTTGTCTGCCTGTTGCTAGCTCTGCTGGCAGCTGATGGGCCACAACAGTTATCAAACCCATTCCGGCTTCAGTTACAGCTGCCCATCATTTTTGTTTCTCCAGAAGCATTATTGCAAAGAGGAACAGATGTTTCCTTTAATTAAATCAGTCAAGAAGTTCATTCTTTTAAAAGATGGAATAAAATCAGAAGAACAGTGCCCAGAAGAACCAAAAGGGTGTCACAGGAACCTTCAAAAATCCCAAGTGTTCCACGCAGGACCAACTTTCAGACTGATCAACCATGCTCTTCTTATGTTAAAAGAATTCATCCCCAGGTTTTTTGAAACATTTGTACCTACTCACTATTGCCATCCATGGGGACCTCAACTTTCAATGTCTGGTTCAGAATTGGGAGAATCATCAGGGAAATCAGACAAATCCTCTGTAATTCTATGATTTTTCAAAAGCTACAAACTCAATGGCAGAACCAAAGACTTTTAGAGGTTGTAAGTTATAAAACCATAGCTTAGTTGTCCAATTTGAAATGTCCTACTTTCCATCTCTCAGAATGGCAATGATGGAGAAGACCATTCTTGAATCTGAGAAGAATGCCAATCAAAACAGATCCAGTTTGCTATTCTAATTTTTTTAACTGGGCATCAAGCAATATCATATTTTCACAGAATTTAGTACTGGGGCAGATAGCAGCGCAACAATAAATTAACAGGCAGAAGCCCATCTGCAGTTCACATGATCAGAGGCATAGTGATTGGACTAATATACAATTCAAATTCAAAATTTAAATTTATAATGAGGTAGGAAGGGAAGCTGAGGAAGACAGATTGATCATAGAGATGCACAATGCACAAGAGACCCATATTACAGGTATCTCAACAATTGTACTGTGTTAGAAACCCACTTTGGAGACCTCACGACTGAGCAGGAAATTAGAAAAGGGTTCTTCTCTTACAATTTTGTTATTAAATTTATCATTAAACTTATTCACTGCACATCTCAGTTTGAGGCAACTCTGAGTGTCTTGCCTCACTCTAATGATCATAGCAACAGTGACATCACTGATTTTCTTCTTTGTCAAAGCTATTGATGGTAATGCATTATTAAAAATGAAAGGTTTTCCACCGTTCAGGTTTTTTTCCCCTCACAGAACCACCACCAAGAGGGATACAACAAATATATCCGCATCCTGGTGCTGCTATCACCCAACAGCCATCAAACGGAAACAAGAAGACACCTCCTAAAAAACAAGATCACATCAGGAATTGCAAAGAAACCTGGAGATCCTGTGATCAAAGCCATAATCGCTTTTCTCCTCAGCTCAATATTCCTACAGTTCTTCTCCATCAGGTTCATCTGCAAGGCAGAACAGCCTCTCCGTGTGAAATTTTACACCTGTTTTTTTTCCATTGGGTCTTGGGACAACTCGCTGCATACCCGTTAGCCATTGCATACTAATCTTTTGATTCCTTAAGGCGGTCTGGAGAGAGTTATGGTAGAAAAACAGTGCTCCCTGAATGACAGTGTCCCAGAAGCAGCCATCTTTTTGGCCCTGAGGCAGGTGTGGCGAAACAGCAATCACTTCTACAAGTCCTCCACACGATCCAGGGACGAATCCCAAGCAGACAGAAAGTGATTGCTGTTTCCAGGACAGTCATGTGGCCCAGGGATGTGCGACCTGCCCTCCTTCCCTAATATGAGAACCAGAGATCTTTAAAGGTAAGGAGGAGGAGGATGTGAGTTCTGGTGGTATGAGAATCAGGCTTAAGGACTCCAGGGACCCAGTGGAAGTGAGAAAAAAAACCATGGGACCGCATGGGAGTAAAAAGTCTGTGGGGACCCTGTGAGAGAGAGAAAGGCCAGTGGCAGGGGAGTTGCCAATGGTTAAGGTAGGGAAGGCCTTTGGAAGGCAAGCCTGGGGCTGCGCTATGCCCCCAACAGCAA